TGATTTATTGATATAATAGCATCTGTTTAATGTTTTAGTCAATTTTTCTGAAAGATATTTTGAGAACAAACTGTTTATTTGCTACCTAAAAGATGGGAAAAATAGCAATAAGGAAGCTAAAAATCAGACTTGAAAACTGAGATCTAATTTTGAGTGTCAACAACATGAACAAACCTTTGTCTGAATGTTTAGAGTGCTGCAGCTCTAGTGAACTTAAAACTGTTCAGTCCTTAAATTGGACAATATTTTCAGTGTTAACATCCCAATTCAGAGCCTTCTTTTAAGGCTGCACACCTAAGACACTTGCTCACATAGGAAATCTAGCTAGAAATAGGCCTCATTTCCGTTACAGACCTATTCTTTATTGTAAATTCATTATTTTTTAATAACAATAAATTGCACTTCAGCATAACAGTAGCAGAAGTTACCATAAGAGATTCATCTGAGCTACGTGAAAAAGGTAAAATCTCTCTATATTTTACCAGATAAGACTTTTGAAAGTAGCACATCATTAAAAACTTCAGTGAGTTACGTTGCAAGACAGAAATAAAAGTGCTTGTGTTGCTCAGTAATGCTCTATAAAAAATGCAGATTTGAGCGCAATAACATGTATCAGCGTAACATTCAATTATACGTGACAAAACCTACTAGCTGGCCGGCTGGGAGGGGACAAGGTGCAGAATAGCTGCCACTTGCGTAGGAGCCATGAAAGTGAGCAGGCACAAAGTCCTTAGCCCACCTGGCTGCTGAACAGAAAAATAAAATCAAAAAAATAAAAAAAGGGAGAGGGGCCTTTAATAGTAATCGATCTCATCCGTCAGCTGAACTGTTCCCGATGTTCTCTTGGCGTCTTGACAGCCAAAAAAAAAAAAAAAAAGAGAAAGGAATAGAAAGGTTATTAAGAGGTAAATAACAAAATGCCAAAGAGCTTTTCCCAAGAAACCGTCTGCTGCAATCACCACAAAATTGTGCAAGCATTGTGCTTTACTGCTCGGTGCCCGAGGGGAGTTATTTTGCCAATATTTCCAAGCCAACTTATAGGCCAAATGAGCAATCAGCAGATTGATAGCTGCAGCCATTGGAGCAGTGACTTGGCTAGTGAAATATATATCTGATCGATGAGGAACTCTGGGAGGTGCAAGCAGAGGGTTTGAATGATTATGGTAATAGCAAAACTGCCCAGAAGGTGTGACAAATAAAGCATGAATATTGAAATACGCTGAGGCTTAGCTATGCCTTTGCTGTGAGAGACTGCCTCAAATGAGTAGCTGCACAACATTGGCAGAACTATAAAGTTGCTGATTTTGCAGACGTTTGTTCCTCAGCTTGATAAGTTAATATATATTGTTTAACATGATAATGTAGCAAGCTGTTGTTTTGTGACTTGAAAGCCAGCTGCATTTGATTGATGCCGGGAGTGGAAGTATTTATAAAATGACACTGAATTAGAAGTAGTCAGTTTATGGGTCTGGGGAAATGAATCTTTTATGAAGAATAAAACTTTATGATGAAGGAGTATTACTGAGGAAGTATGCATCTTGAATTAAACTCTTTTGGACTGGAATCTATGCTGTAAAGCCTTTTAAAATAAAAGTTTGTTGCTGTCAGTTGCTGTGTTTTTAAGAAACGGATCTTTAAGCATCATCTTTAGTGGTGGGCCTGCCCCAGATGTACTCCCGTGTGGGTACCCTCTGTGATCACCCAAACTGGGGCGGACCAATTCCTCCTTGGAAATATAGTCACCAGACTTCTACAAAAGCTGCTTGGAAGATGTTTTAGCTCCTGGTTTGAAACGGTTGTGATTTTTGAGGCACCAACCAAAAACGTTAGCCCACTCTAATTCTTTTGTAAATGTGTGTATGTGTTGTTGTTTTTTTTTTAATGGAACGGAATACAGACTAGGCACTGCTGTGCTTTTGACCTCACAGGTTAGTTTGCAAACTTGTTTGTGACCGCGAGAGCACGAGGAGATGCGTTTCTGAACACAAGCCAGTCTCGGCCTAGCACCCACATTCAGTTCAGCGAAAGCTTTCTTTTCCCCTTTCAGCAGGGGTATTCAGCAGGTCCTCTGAGTGTTTTAGCGATGCAAGCATACAGGTGATGTTTAAAGAGCTGTAGTTGTATGTACTGATGTTTGTGAACAGATTACAGGTGCAACCTTGAACCAATATCTCAAAACCTTCGACAAAGGCGAGGTAGAAGCAAATGGATCTAATTCCTCCCAGCTTTCCTCCTGGAGCTAGCATCTCTATGCCAACTAAATACAAAATTCTGCTCCTCTGCGTTGCTGGAGTTCTGTATGTGTTTGCACAGGAGGAATGATTGCACAGAGAGAGATAACGTCCGGTGACTAGAAAGGTTGAAGAACTGCAGCTGGCAAATGAGAGTCAGATTCAGCCATTGCGTGAAGCCAGTTTTGTTCCAGAGTAAGTAGAGATCTGGAGATTTACGCCAGATCAGATCTTAAAGTCTGTTTGTGCCTTCCAAAGTCTTATCGTTAGAAACATTGCAGTAGACCTCTCTAGGACCACTGTATAAATGGGATTCAACATGAATATATATATTTCAATCAGATCCTAAATCTCTGTTGAGCATCATTTTACCTAAGAGATTAATAATGGTAGGAATTTATATTCATTTAAAATATAGTTTGATGTACTTGAAGACCATGGCATCCCATTAAATTGCGTTTTTCAAGGAAGAGTTATGTACCAAATCCCATTGAATTTCAGTTGTATTTCAGTACTTTTAAGATGCCTTGAAGATTTGCCTTAATTCGTATTTATTTCACTGAATTCACGTGGCTTTGGAGATTTTCATGACCCACATTATCTAACATGAATATAAATATTCTTTCTCAAATGCAACAAATACCTAAAAACTAGCACAGCGTGTGATAAGTTCTCTGTGCTTGTGAAGAGAATCTTCATTCTTCAAAAACAGAAAGCAGCTATTTTTTCCTTTTCTTTTGAAGAAGTCTCAGACAAAGTAGGTGAAATATCAGGGCTAGGATCATCTTGTAATATTGGAAAACATGGCATGGCGTCCAGTGGTAAGCTGCTTTTTGAGCTGTCTGACCTTTAATCACCGGTGAATAAAACCAACATGCTGTCAGTTCTCTGTTATATTTCTCAAGGGGGTAACTCTGCCTGAAGTAGCAATGAAGCAAAACCTTGGAGAGCTTATATTCAAGGTCACTACGACAAGAGGCAATACTTTGTAGCCTGAGCAGTATAACAGAAGAAAAAAAAAAGAGGAAACGTCTAAACAAGTCAGTGGTTGTGCTTGTCTAACAGTGAGCCAGGTGGTTATGTCAGCCTATAAATGAAGCTGTTTTTGTTTTTATGTTTGCAGCAATATTCCATTTTGTTTGATTCTTAAGTCGCCTGGGCTTGAAGACCTTCCAAAAGAAAATCGCCATTTATTGTTGCAGATGAATGATCCCTATTTCTGCTCTGCAGGCAGTTTCATTGTAATATTGGCTTTGGCTTTGTCTGTGGCAGAAGGCTTTAATCCTTTTTAGTTATATGGCTGCGGAAAGCTACGTGGGCACTGACAAGAGATGGTGTGGTCTCAAAGACCTGTTGTGAAATGGAAATATTGTATTTGGAACGTATTTCATTACTATGTTTTAAAGTAATTGAGAGTCTATTGAGAGTCTATGGGGGAAAGAAAGGGTTAGCCACCACATAAGGGCTGAACTCGAACAGAAAAAATTATAATTGACTTTGACACTGCAGTTCACACATTAAATAATTTGGTTTCAGTACTAAGCTACTTAAATGCAAATTACATAGTTGATGGACTTTGATAAATTATTTTTATTGGGATTTTTAGACAAAAGAACAGATACCTTCTTGGACTCCTAATTAGAAGTTGTATAAGGTTTGCTAATACCTTTTTAATTAATTTGTTACTTAACTTTGATTCAGTATGGAAACTAGTTTGTTGATTTGATCATGGCTGTTTTTCTAATTTGATAACCTTTGTTCAGGTTAACATTACTAGAATTAGTTTATTTTGGTTTGGTGGGTTGATATATTACTTTTAGTTAGATGTTTTTAAGGAATATCTACGTTTACACTTATAAATGACCTGATTAAGAAATTGTAGTGATCTAAGGGTGACTATCCCAGGGTTGAGCCTAGGTGTCTGTTTCTTTGTTTCCCACTGTACAAAACAAATAAAAATGCTGCGGTAGAATTTTATAGGCGCATTGGAGGCTAGCACAGCCCATCTAAGGGAGACGGCGCAGGAGTATACGTGCTGTGCCAGTGAACAAGAGAGTCAGCAGCACCTCGGTCCTCCCTATTAACATAATGTGGAAGAGGATGGGAGGTTTTTTCCTCTGTACATCATTTAAGGCGCTGTGCAATAAACAGCGTTCACCCTGTAGCGTGACTGCGTGCTCTGAGATCTTCCTCTTAAAAACAACCTCCTTGCTCTAAGGGTAGCCTAGCAATAGCGTCTTTCTGTATTGAGGCTGATACAGTAAGATCATTAATTCATTCAAACTGAAATTAGAATAATGTAGGTTTGGTCACGATCGAATTTGTCTTACTGACAGAAGATTTACAACGTCCAACAAATTCTGAAACTGTTCTGAAGCTTAAAAGTGAAAATAGAGACCTTTCTCTTTAGCATCTTCATTGTGGCTATCCTGTGGACTTTCTACCATAGAAGTCAGAGTGTGGAAGATGCATCTGTAGTTCATTTAGTGAAACGCTGTTAACGTAGATGATAACAAAGTTTACAGATATGGGGAACTTGTGTTAGAGCCATTTGTCTGCTGCAGACTGGAAGCACATCTTTTGTTGTTGGCTCAGTAGCAAGAAAAAATAAGACAAATATAACTACAGATTAACTATCAAGTGAAATTATTTAGACGTTTCACTGAGATAATTATATTTTACACCCACATCATTCCTCACATGTGAAAGTGGAATCATTTTACACATCTTCCTTAACGGCATTATGTTTTCTTTCCACCTTTCCTGTAGGAACTACCGTGATGCGGATGACAGCATTCGATGCTGACGACTCTAGCACAGACAATGCTCTTCTGCGCTATAACATCCTTAAACAGACGCCTACCAAACCATCTCCAAACATGTTCTATATCGATCCAGAGAAGGGAGACATCGTCACAGTGGTGTCACCAGTCCTGTTGGATCGTGAGGTGAGTGGACGTTTTCCCATCGTCAGCCGGACAGCTCCATGTTCGTGCTTAAAATCATCACCTGTGACATGAAAAGAGGTTCGGTGTGTCTGAGGGAGTGGGGGTTCAGATGTTAAACTTTCTCGAGTCTTTTTACAGCACTTTCTTTCTTTCTTAAGAAGTCATCTGCTGTGATCGCTTTTTATGAATCTACCTGTTCAGCACTTCTGGACAAGACATTTAGATTTGGGTGCTGAAGGCAAAGTTCCCAGAAATAAATGGAATTTAACCTATAGTTATTAATTAGCCATTTGGAAACAAACACACAAATGAATGTGTTTAGTTCTTTAAATGCTTCTCTAGAACTTTCTTTTTAGTTGAATTAACTTAGTGGAATAATTATGTATATGCTGACATCATGATGACCTAAACAGTAACTCTATGTTCTGGCAGTCACCTACCCCAGTATGCTCTTAGGTGCCTGGTGATGGCAAGGTTCTTTGCTTGCAGGCTCCTTCAGGCAAATCCAAAGTTTTTAACTTTTCACCCTTAACCCTTGCTGCATTTTGAGTACATGCAATGATTTACTGAACGTGTCTTTTAAATGTTTGATATAGGACTATGCAATATTCTCGATATTCAGTAATTATTTCTCATTTTAGCCAGATGGAAGTGATGCTCATGCCACTTCCCATTTTATATGACATTCAATGCATAAAACAGACATTTGTTCCAGAAAAACTATGGTCTTGGCTTGTAGATCTGTCTTTTAAATTCAGAGTGATTCCAATTCTTTCATTCTTGTCTGGGTAGCCACAGAATCATGCCCAAATGAAGATATATGTAATCACTGTCTTTATGCCTAAAGTTTCCCTTCTAACTTCATTGTTTAAGTTCAAAAGCTTTATACTGTTTTCTAAAGTCAGTTTAGGTATTTTTATTTCTAATAGGTAACCATTCCCCAGATTAAACCAATTTACTCAAAATTGGAAAATCAATGGAAGGGAATGAACATGCCTGCTTTTCTTAGTATCTTCCAAAGGTCACTGGTGATTCATGAAATAATGATGCTATCCCCATGCAAGAAATCTGGCCTCAATCGAACTGGTATTACTGCTGCGTAGTATATCCTGAAAGCAAGATCTGAATTCCCTATGATTTTTAATAATAGTTGATTCAGTACCTTTACTTTGAAGGTGGCATGGCAAATTGCAGTCTTGGTGAAACTGCAAAGTCATTTTTGTTTTGCCGCAAATGCTGAATGTTTTATGAGCCAGAATGTAAGGATGTGTAAAATTTTAACACTAGAAAGCATTATCTGCAGCTAAATTTCAGTCTAATCTTGACTTTTCAGGTGAAAGGCTTAGGAAGAAGTGTAAGCTTTCTATTTCTGCACAAGCTGCTTTATGCTGTGCCACGACCTGTATCTTAGCGAGTTCGGCCTCTTCTGTCTTTTCCTGCTCACATATGTCTTGTGTAGTGACTGGTATTCAATCCTCCTTGCCTGGGCCTGTGGAGTTAGAAGATGTATAACTTCTATTTTTAATTGTAATAACAGCTTTTAGGGGCCAGTGGCCTAATAATCCTATTCCAAATGATTCTGGGTGGCAACATAATCCCAACACTGCAAATGTTTCTAGGTGTTTCACCAGCTCATTAAATCGAATTATTGTAAAATAATACTGCCTCAGGTAGGAAGAGCAAGAGTAACAGCAGGAGGAGGGGATCTCTGCCTAGCCACTGCAAAGGGGTAGGGTGTACGTCATGTCACGTTTGGAGAGGCAACTCTGGGGATACTGGAAAACTGGTGGGCAGGAAGGAGTCCTACTTGCCCCCTCTCTGTAGCATAGCAGCCACCTCTCCTTTTTCTGTCTTTCGCTCACTATATTGTCATCTATTGTAATCATAAAAACTATTGCCGGTCAAAAGTGGATTTTCTTAGTTGTTCCTTGTAGTTGTATTAGTTAAAACTGTATCGGCACTGGACACCAAGCAGCTGAATTTGAGATAAAAATTTCTTTAGGATGCACATGGAGAGGGGAGAAAGCTGTATGTCATTACCCATATTGATGCACTAGAGGTTGATATAAACTGTTTTACAGTGAGATAAAACGCTGAAAAGTTACACTTGTTTTCCACCTCTTGTAAGAGTTTTAACCATTGCTAGATATTAATGCTTTTGGGAAGTCTTCTATTTCACTTAAGTTACATTGACACACTGTAAATTGCTATTTTTTTTTTTTGTAAATACCATTTCTTTTATGTTCGTATATCAGAGGGAACAAGAAACTGGGGATATTGCTCAGTGGGAGATACTGAGATGTGGAGGTGCAATGCATCTGGCAGTTTTTGAACATACACTATAACCTGTATTATTTTTTCATGCTTCTACATTTTGAGAGGGGTTGCCATGATAAAACCTTGGAAATTCTTGTTTCAGTACAATGAATCAAAACCCCAGGTAGTCACCCTAAAGTAAAGCAAAGTCTAGTCATCTAGAGAGCTTAGATTTTGTATCTGATTCAATATATGTGGGATAATCTCAGCATGCAAAAGCAAATATTTAGCTTAATTTTAAGGAGCTAAAAATAAAATCAAACAAATTTTTATAGTAATACTTTAGAATTAAAAGTGAATTCTCAGTAGATGCTTTCTGTTTTAAATAAAATCTAAAAGAAAGGGGAAAAAAGAGAAAGGGTGAGCTTGTTTCTGGTGAATCTGCTCCTTTTACTCAGTGAAACGGTTTCTATTAGCTACACAGAATCAGCTCAAAATGAAGAAAATGGTGTTAATTTCTCAGAGCCTTCTGAATCTCTTTTTCTCTGACTTGCGGTTATTAGGTCTTTTTATATGCATAAATAAATATGTATACACTCTTCATTTATATCATATATATATATATATATATACACACACACACACACACATATTCTCTATTTAGATCATAAATACAGAGAGTATGGAGATGGGAAGTCTCCGAGGTGTGTCAAGCGACCTCTCCTCCGTGGGTGATTGCAGAGTGGTTCTGTGCATCAGAGAGAAGGAATGCAAACTATGAAAGTCATTGTCTTTAGGACTGTCTTCTTTCTAAACTAGAAAGATACATATCTAGATATATATATCTATCTATATCTATATATATCTCTAGATATATAAAGGAGGTCTGAGGTCTTTTCTACGAGTTGCTTGTCTGCTTTCAGATCCCCAGCGTAGCTAGATGTTTTCGTTGTTCAGAAGATATGTAAAATGTGACACAGTATCGAAATTTTGTATAGTGACGAGATACCATGTCTTAAGATCTTACAGCCAGATCCAGTGTTCATGAATCAGGGATTTCCATAGCTTAGCAGTAATTGGACTTGTTTAACAAGTTTGGGTGTTTAATTTAGCATGGATGGGTGAAACTGTTTGCTTTGGCGCTATTTCCATAGTATAGTATCACCTACAAAAGCATTAAGTGAAATAGTCATTCCCTCCAGTATGCAGAAAAAGGCGTGTTTAGTAATCCCTCGGTTGCATCCAGCAAGCTGGCGCCGCTGGTCCCTAGTGCCACCTGTTGATGGGAGCTAGGAGTGCTTCATGCCTCCAGAGAAAAACTCAGCACCTTGCAGGATTTGCCTGGCCTGAATCTATCACCATATTTTTATTTATAAATTTTTCAAATTCAAAATTGTTTCCAGAAGTGCATGCTCCTCAGGGTTTGCAGCAAAACTCAAATAATTTATCGAAGAACATCCATTTTCATTTTGAGAAGGCAGGTAAGGACATATTTCTGAAGATTAATGTGCATTTTTTCTTGTGGGAGTTAAGCATCCTTGAATGTGTCAGCAAGAAGGATTGAAGAGTGTTAGGGGGCAAATTATACCTCCAGATATCCACTGGAGAATACATTTTGATTCATAGATTCACAGGAGAAGGATGCCCTGCACCGAAGTGTATGGTCTAAATGACCCGAAGTAGAGCACAGCAGACAAAAAAAAAAAGGAAAAGAATCTTGAGGAAATATCCCGAGTTTTGTATTTCAGGGATAGAGAGTCCATTTCACAGTGACACTTGCCTGCAGTAAAAGGAAAAATAATGCTTCTCATGTGCCTAGCAGGAGAAAACACTTGTACTCTTGTGGAGTCAACTCTTTCCACTTCCTCGATGAAACAGTAATCCGTTTTTCTGCTTGCCCACAGTGTTGCTTTGCCAGTGTTACAGACTCTATAAGAAAATAGCTGTATGATTATAGTACTATAAGAAAGCTACCACCACAGCTGTGTGAGTGAAATACTTACTTTACTCCTCAGAGTTTGAGGAATAATATGCTTTTGCTTTCATTAGGAGCTGCTGTGCTTAATTTGGAATAAAGCTAAAGAATAGTTTGAGATGTCTGCTACATGCTGGACTGTATGCTTTCGCATATGCTTTTCGTCTCAGGAAAACCAGTTTGAGTATATGAGAAATTCAGGGCTGATTTCAGTGAAATAAAATGTTGGGTCATCTCCAGAGAAGCTGATTCTCTGTGTCCCTCTTAAGTCATACTAGCATTTCTCTAAGCATCTCCTGGATTTTGAATGCTTTTGAACCAACGTTGGTACATCAAACCACCATTGCTTATGTCATGTATGCCTCTCACTCTGTTTATTACTTGAAATCATGGAGCTGATAGCTTTATGCCATGAACCACCAGAAAGCTAGAGTTAAACAAGCTGATGTTTATGTAGACGGCTTGCAATCACGGAAGAGTTTGCTAAGCCTCCTGCTTGACTGGATGGCTTTGAGCTTTTAACAAAAACAAACAAACAAAAGCACTGTATAACAATTGGCAAATACCCATTCCTATCTATGCATTGATGAATGACTGTACATTGGCTAGCAGTTTTTCAAGTCAACAGCAGTCCACTGATACATATTTGTCAATACATTGCCTGCATGAGAGAATGAAAGTGTGCATAAATGTTCTTCATCGTATTCAACCGGTTCTTCTCTGATAAGCAAATCATAGTGTTCTTGTTGATGCGACTTAAGTTCTCTGA